GAGCCATCAAGTGAGAGTCTAAATTCTCCCAAGAGTCGAAGTGGATATCGCATGCATTCAATTTGCATGATATTTTCAAAACTTCCTTTAACAGCCTACTTTTCTTTTGTTTTTCCGTCATTAGTAGTTTGGGATTTGACAAATCGTTTCACATGTTTGTTTGTTTTCATCATGTAGCGACTAATAGAACTTTTCAACGAACCATGAACATTTTCAAAATGTATAGTCCTTTAAAGAATATTCATCTCTTCAATATTGAGTATCTCCAAATGGTCTAATCAAAATAGAGAATATCTTGTATAAAATTTGTTTTTCGGATGAATGTACGTTTAGTTTGAATGGAGAGGTGAATCGACAAAATTATCGATATTGGAGTAATACGAGTCCTCATCTAAACCATTAAGTTCATACCCAACGACCTCAAGAACTGAATGTTTGGGTAGGAATTTCAGGTGACCACATCATAGGACCTTTTTTGTCGATGATAATTTGATAGTGATGAATACTTGCATAAGTAGGAGAATCGAATAATACCGTGCATCAATAGGGCATTTGAGGAGGGTATAAATTCATTCGAAAACGAAATATTTTTTCAGCAGGATGGTGCACCTCCTCATTATGCAGCTCAAGTGCGACAATTTTTGGATGATCATTTTCCTAGTCGCTGTATTGACAGAAAAGGTCCTATGGAATGGCCACCAAGGTCTACGAATCTCACTCCTATAGGTTCCTTTCTATGTGGTCATTTGAAGTCTAAAGTGTATGAGATAGAATCAACTACATAGAAGATTTGAGAGAGAATATAATGAGGCACTGCAGAGAAATAACTCCCGATATTCTCAACCATGTAAGGGCGGCAATGGAAGCTCGTTTGTACCATTGTATGAAAGTTGGTGGAAACGTTTTTAAACATTTACTATGTGAATTTGTCTCTCCTCATTGTCCAGTTATCAGATTTTGATTAAAGAAATAATAGAAAACCTCTTTTCCTGATTTATTGCTTCCATATTAGTCTCTAAAATGAACATTTCAAAATGTGGCCTCCTGTAATTGTTGACCTGTTTCTTTTATTTTTCCTGCAAATCATCGTTTCAAAAGTTTGTCAGGGTGGCTTGTTTTCAACTCAAATAATCTGTAGCTCCCGAACCATAAGCTCCATGCCATATGTTTCATACTTTGTTGAAATTTGATTATCATTAAAGAAAATGGTGTCATGTTCTGGGGGTGCGATGGAGGAAGTAACATCAAATGTGTATGTGTCAAAATGTGTTCCCCTGTATACTATTGTTGACGTTTTCCTATTTTCCTGAAAATCATTGAATCAAAAGTTATTCAGGGTGGCTGTATATTATGTTTACCAATTTCTTGTGCTGTTTCAACTGTTCATTCTTGAAAAATGCATGTAGTAGAAAATGAATCAATAAATGATAAAATATCATATTTCAGAAAATCTGACTTGAAACAGAAAAAACTCCGAAACCTAGATTGGCTATTCAAAATGGTAGCTGATGGACACATTGAGACTAAATAAAAACAGTTCAAACAAGAAGTTGTAAATCATATCACGAATGAAATAAAGGCCTCTAATGGCAAAGTCATAGAAGCATCACAAACAAAACTAAAACGGTATGGAATAAAGTAAATCCGTTCAAAGGAAAACAATCGAAAAATACCAGAGAAATAATCTACAATGGAAACATCTTGACTCAATCGTTAGATATGGCCACCAGAACTGTCACCAGCCTGTACAGCGGGATAGATCCCTATATACTCTTTGAAGAATGCTCTAAATTGCAAATCCCTCCTATTCAGCAAAGTGGTATAGAAAGGAGCTCTGGATATTCAAAACATATTCATATGGCGCATTTACAATCTTTTCTACCAGACCTCCTGCAGAGACACCTTCAAAAATAATATTTTGACGGTAACGTGTGTATACCTCATGAATACCTATAACTGAGTCTAACAGTTTTTGACATATTCGAGTTTTTCACTCTTGCTCAAATGGATCCAAAGTTCTTGAAGTTTTGTATCATTTTCTTGGCAGTATTTGGTGATGCTTTCTTTTTTTCAGAGAATCGAGTAGTATATCGAGGTTTTTGAAAAATTGAAAATGAAGACCCGTTCCACCAAAGAATCAAAACAGTTAATGACTTTTCATTAGTCTACATCTGGAATCGAAATAATTTGTATATATATTTTTTTATGTTTGTTTCCCGATTTGATTTTCCAATTTTTTCATTTCCTTCTTCCTTCTTGTCCCTCATTATTATACATCAATATACATACAATATAAGAGGGATATTAGCTTGAACCAAAAAATGCTATAAGGATACAAAAATTGATAGATTTCAATTTATATGTAGGAAAAGGAAAACATTCTCCAAAGATATTCCACACTAATATCAGGAGTATAGCAAAAAAATGTGATGAGCTACGTATATATCTGACTAGTTTCGAAATTAATTTTGATATTATTGTATTAACAGAAACTTTCATTATACCAGACGCAAGCATATTTGGTATCATAGGTTATGATACGTTTTATAATGGATCAACACTCAACAGAAATGATGTAGTAGTAGTGTTCATCAAGAAAAATTGCAACTACGAGCATTCAAATGCTTATCAAAATGAAATACAAAAATAAAACAGTGATCCTCTCATCTATACATTCCAACGGACATCACTGTGAATTTAGTTCAGGAGCGAGTCTACAGAGGAGATGGATGTCGAGTTTATGACTCCAATTGACCTCCCTGTAAATTTGGTTTAGGAGCGGGAGTGGCGGCGTACGCAGAATCTGTCTCAGGTGGGGAAACTAACCCCCCATGAGCAGGTTAGCAAACGTTTGCGCTCAAGTGAGGTTTCACCAAAACCAGAGGCGAAAAAGCCCTGCACGGCTGAATCTAAGGCATCGTCAGGTGTAGCTGACGTGCAGAAAACCCTCTTATGGGAAGGTTGTCGTGGGTATCAAAGTGGATATCGGCAGAGCCGTACTCTTACCATCTGACCTGAAATACCACTCACCATATAAACTAATCGGCTTCGTTAAGAAGCTGGGTTTGTTTGGCCGAGTGAGAATAGGTGTGGGCCACAATAAACCCCTCGCGGGTTGCGGTGGAGGGTCGAATAGACCCACTCACTTTGGACCTAACCTGACCTAACCTCATCTATACACAGATCTCCAAATTCATGTACAAATGAATTCAATAACTAATTTTTCAACTATCTTAGTTGAATTTATCTACTATAGAAATCACAAAAATAGAAAAGCTCCATATATGGAACAGATCAGAAAATGAGTGATAGAAAACAGCACTGGGAAAATTCACCCGGAGACACTTGTCTCACAATGTTAATAGGTTCGATTTCTATTTTCATGTAACTTTTTTGGTCCGATGTCGAATTGAAATAAATTCTAAAAACCTTTTTTCTGACATTTGAAAAAAATTTAAACAATATAGATACTTATTTATAGTTGACATTTCACACTACTTTTTCCAGATCAACCATCACGAACTACCTCATTATTGATTATCCAAAAGCTCCAATTAAATTTTTAAAGATAAACATAAGCACTACGGCAAAATCCTTAAGGTACGTTTTCCTAGCGACGGATTTTTTACGCCGTGGCTGACGTCATTCGCTGAGCGTTGTACGTGGATCACTCCTTTCCCAAAGTTTAATGAGAGTGTTTTCCTAGAAGGCGCATTACGTCAGCAAGGGACGTAATAGATTTGTTCTGGTTCTACGAAATTCAGGTTCTAGGACGTCAGGATCATGCGCAGTTGATATAGAGCGTTCTGGTTTATTGAGGATGATTTCGGACTGATGAATCCTCTGTTCTGGTTTCGACTGCGAAATGATCCTAAACTGTTTTGCACCGTCCCGAATCGTTCTTGCTCTCGAAGCTGAACTGTTGAGAACTGTTCTCGTTGATCAGGCGCATTCATATGGAAATTTGTTTGGGCTATTTGTTAAGATGTTTTTTTATATATTTGATTTGAAAAATCGATGATTGAGGGTAGATAACATTTGAGCTGACTATAGGGATACGCTACATAACAAAATGGACATGATTAATAAATAATATTTTCTCGTCTTCATCTCTTCATATATACGATAGGTGGCACAGTGGTCTCCTCAAAAGCATTCTGGTTTGAACAAGTGTACGAGACTATTTTGGACTGTTTGAGATTTTTTGTTTGTACGCATCATGTCTTGCGCAGTTTCCAAACAGTTTCGGATGTTAGAACCAGAACAAACCTAATAATACGTCGACGGAATATACCTGACTGCTGTTGGAGGAGTCTATTACGTCGTATGCTGCGTTATTTACAAGTTTTAGTTGTGTGTTATTTTTTTAAATGTCTCAAATTCAGGGAAATTACCAACAGTGAGGTTTTCTGGCGATGAGGATGAAATTTCAATTCAATTTGTGCAGAACCATGCAATATTGTATGACCTAAAATACCCCAAATTTATAAAAACACTATGCAAAAAGATTTGATTTGGAGCGGAGCTGGAAAAATAGTAAATAAAGGAGGTGAGTTTTTCAAACAGTTTCATTACCAATAAGTAATAATGTCATTAGTATAATAATTAGTGATATAATTTATATCGGTGTTGATTCATTAAGTGATATCCAGAAGCTATAAGACAGTAGGGCTTTTATCGTAAATGCATGTATCGGTGCTGAACTGCCTTCTCACTTCAAATCATTCAGACCCGGCAAAACCACCCGTGCCAGCTATATTGAGAAGGTTTTGGGTTGGGAAGCTCTTCTCCAGATTTGGAGTTCTATCTGCTTTCGTAGGAACCGTCGATAAATTATCATTTCTCAGCTGCTGAGGAATGATAATTTACACAACATGCTGAGGCTCAGCATGTTATGTAAACAACAGCACACAACAATAACCCAGTCAACAGTTTCTGTTTTTAAATTCATCGGTATGAAAAAAATACTGAAAATGGTGCTCATGATGCCAAAAGCATTTTCAGACGTTCTCCTGGCTTTGCTTCCATAAGTTAAACGTTCCTTTTCTTTCATCTTGCAATAATGGTACTCTAGGATAAGGCTTCACCATATGCTCACTCAAATTGAAAGCATCATCACCAACTACTACGTGAGGTAGCAGGGTGTCAGAGTTTGGTAGGTATTTTGGAGGTGGAAACATAGTTCCATTTTCAACAAACTCTCCCATTTTTGACTTCTTGAAAATCCCTGCATCACCATATTTTCCATATGAACCAACATGAATAAAGACAAACTTGCAGTTTGCATCAATCATTGCAAGAAGTACTACAGAAAAATATCCTTTGTAGTTGAAGTATAGACTTCTCGATTTGGCCGGTGATACAATTCCCATATCTTTACCATCAATGGAAGCTATACAGTTGGGGAAACACCAATGTTTCCAAAACTTGTCGGCTTTCTGTTCCCAGTGTATCAGTTCTGGAGGAGGTAAAAAAAGTGGCACAAGCTTTTTCTGTAAAGCAGCTAACACCTTAGGCACGATTGTGCTTATTGCAGAATATGGAATCCGGTAACCAAATGACAGTGATCTGTATGATTCCCCTGTGGCCAGTAACCTAAAACAAATTTATAAAATTTTGAGATAATCAACACATATAAATAATGTTTTAAATCAATATCAATAGTAGGAGAGGAGAAAATGAAAATATGTTTGTATGCACGATTACAATGTTGTTTTGTATAGGAGTCGTGTTTGTTTGTTGCAGGAAGTGAGTGCAAGAGATGCTGGAAACATATGAGGGATCACCACAGGAGGGAATAAAAAGAACAGACTGCAATTCTTGGACACTGCGGAAGATGAAAGAAGCAGCTTTACAAACGTTATTTTGCCACCCTACAATGAACATTCAATTATTCCTGGATGGAATAAAATATTCTGAAATTCAAAATGAATTATAACTTACCTCAGCGTTAAAGCCAATTTTTCGACTGCTGTTATTGGTTCTTTGATTCTGTTGTAGGAGGGGGTTGTCAAGTCTTCTTCCACGAGGCTTAAAACGAAGTAAAACCGTTCACGGGTCAATCTAACATAATTCTGGAACATTTCTGCTTATGGAGATGGCTTTTGATCGAAGTGTTGAACATTCCTTCAATTTTACGATTTTGGAACACAGCACTCACTTGTTTCCACTTGTACGTTGCAAATTTCGTCAATATTAAGTATTCTTCCCGGTTATCGTTCATACTTTCTTCGATTATTATCATGTTAGCCAATTTTCTCTTCCTCGATATTTCCTCCATTTTGTGAAACTGCAAACGAAAAACATTGATCGACAACGCGTCTCTAGGAAAACACTTCCACGCAGCGTAATGTATTTTACGATCTCGCTGACGTTATTAGGATAAGTAAGTAGTGATTCACAATGGATTTGGAAAATATCTTTTTCTATTAGATTTTATGTTATTTGTGACGCGTACACTTCTTTCCTGTGTGATATATTGCACCCCAGAAAAAAATACCTGTGAAAACGTTATTTGTTTGTAAGGTTTTTTTATAATCACGAAAAAATCTTATCGTAGTAGAAGGTGAAAACTAATAATTGAATTATATTTTCACTGTTCAAACTACATTGACGTGAAAGTATACTCAACAGAAACTAATAAAATCACAATATTAACAATTTAGTGATATAAGAATGTAAGGAAGATCGGAAAACAATCTCTTATAACAGACTAGAAAAAAATTGACGTTTTGCTAACAGTCGGAGTAATCATAGCGGGCAAAAAAAATAAAATAAACTCAAAAAAATCCCAGACAAATTCTACACGACAAATTTCTAGGAAATTATAAGTGAGTGTGACAATCGTTATGAGAGTAGTTTACGAAATTACTATGGATCTTCATCAAGTAACGGCCGAATCAATCAGAAAAAAAAATTGTTATTCAATATTGAAGATTGAAATTATTAGGTCCAGTGGAGTCTCAGTAGGACCGACCAAAATCCCCACGTTATTAGAGAAAGTCATTTTCAGTAACAATTTTCTCTGATCGCTTGGGTAGGAATGATTGGTGACTACCTAATTGGACAATTGTTTTCTACCAGATTCTACAGGTGAATCCTATACGGACTTTTTGCGAGATCATTCAGTCATTTTGTTAGAAGATGTACCGGTACTTGTGAGAGGCAACATGTCGTTTATGCACGACGGAGATCTAGCCCATTTTAGTGTTCTTGCTCGTCAGCATTTCGACATCAGCTACCCTAATCCCTGGATTGGACGTGTAGGACCTAAACATTTTCCAGCTCGCAGTCTTGATATGAATCCTGTAGATTCCTGTTTATGGTGTCATCTGAAGGCTCTTGTTCATGAAGCTCCTATTCAGTTTGATGTCCCAAACTGAATAGACGCACTTCAAACTGTTCCGCAGAATAATTCGATTTCATCGGTCAACATTAACTAAAAATTCTGATAACTTAGCCACTAGTGAGGGTATACGTGAACTCGTTCATCAAGTTAGAAAAAGTGAGGTACATTATGTCTACTAGAAGTAAATTAGAGATGACTTCCATAGTAAAGAATTCGATTCAGAAGATGTTCTAAGAACATGTGTTCATCAGCCAAGTAACAAAAAAGGTGAATGAGGAAATTGAGCAAAAAATTATAATCATCCAGAATAAGTCGATAGCACACGCCAAGAAAATAACTGCCTTGGAGTAAAAATTTGAACAAATAAACCTTCACAATAGTCAAATAAATACCATGGAATAAAAAGTAGATGACATGCTCCAATATATGAAAATGGGTCATATTTGTATATACGGGGTGAATGCAGAAACTGAATGATATTTACAAGAAAAAAATTATAGAGATTATCAAAACAAATACCAGTTTGAACTTCAGAGAAGCAGGTATCAAGAAATGCTACAGGGTGGGTAACAAATCTGGAAATTCAAATAAATACAAACCAACTATACTCAAATTAGTGAACTGTGAATCAAAATTGAAGCTATTGAAAAACGTCCATGAGTTAAAAAAAAACAGATGCTTTTACAGATGATCTACCAAAACATAGAAGGTCCCTACTGAAGGAGGCTCAAACTATCCTTGGCGTGGGGAACGTCTGGAGTTTCAATGGATACATTAACACTTAAAATGACGTATTACCAGAATTCACTGTGAAGGGGATATTGCCATATACACGTCTAACTGATTTCAACGTATCCAAGAACACTTTTTCTCTTTGGTACACATTTAATTGAAATTGTTCGATAATGAATATGACACATCCATTGTGAAAACTTAATAAATAGAAGCAATGATGTGATTTCTATCTTTTTTCATCCATTTTTTTAATGTGCCCAATCAATTTTTCATTATCATCAAAATCTTCATATACTATTTTTTATTATTCACAACGGCCTTCATTATACGTTTATTACTCATTAAAGTGATATATTAGATTTCTGTATTTGATAGATAATTATGAAGAAAAAGAAACAATACTATGTCAAAATTTCAAAGAGAGTATGCATCGATGGAGTGGTGAGTGGTTTCTAAACGTATTTCACCTGAATGATAGAAGTTCAAATAAAAACTTTCATGAACTACATATTCATACAGTGCATTTCTATAATGTCTTTCCCCTCTTTCGTTTTTTGGACGGATCAACTCAAAAAATTGAAATTTGAGATAATAAAATCAATGCATGATTGATATCTGATTTTGTTTGGAATACAAACTTAGTGTAGAAAAGTGTTTTTTGTATAATTCAGTGTTCATAAAAAAATATCTGTTTTGAAAGAATTTTTTCTTTCGTGTAATTCAATATTTATGTGGAAGTAGCTGTTTCAGGAGGGCTTTTTATTCCAGTTTGTGTCTGAAAGTTACTTCTTTGCATGATCTTCACATCTATGTATGAAGTTAATTTTTGAAATCGATTGCTTCCTTCCTTTCTTTGAAAGATTTACACTTTTTGTTTTGTATCAAGTTCGAGTAGTAGAAAGCCAAAAACTTTCTTTCCCAAAATATTCTACATCTACATCGTTTACTTAATATGCATTTCTATCAACTTTATAATACATATATCGACATAAATAAAAATCTACATATCTATCTTGATGGTGATGACTTGGGAAATCGAATAATTAACAATTGCAATGTCATAACGAATACTAAAAAAATAAAAAAACTAGAAAAAAGACAGTGGAATTCTTTTTTCACTATGGATACATGTGAAAAATGATTGTTTTAATTCAAAGCAGATTATATAGATGATTTGAAGATATGCATGGAATTCATTACGCCAGAAATATTGAGAAAATATTGTTAATATTTTTTAGGCTACGATTATACTTATTATTCAGAGCACTTGCTCAATCAAGATTGGAGTTGTAACAGTTTTTTATTGTCAAAAGTATATTTCAATTGAAAATAATTATTTTCACTCATCATGAGTTGCTAAAAACGAGTGCTGTTTCGATTCGCCGTAGGTATTATAAGTGGTGCTAGGCTGAATCACTAATGCATTGCTAAACTGAACTGTCTTATAGATAGCGTCTTTCTAAGAAGACATGTCGTCACTCTTTTGTATTTCGGTTTGATTAAAATTTATATGAGCCACGAAAGTAGGTGTGATTCAGGCATTTTTCTACAAATGTCAGAAAAAGACTCCAGTTCGGTGGTTCTCGCTGTATATATTTCATTTTCTATTGTTTCTATTTTTACTTGTATTTTATTTCACTATTATCTCATTTCAGGTTTATTTTGCTTGATATAACTGTTATTTTCAGCTATTCATTTTTAATTTTTCTTTTTAGTTGTTTCAAGGATTTCAAATCATTTCATATAGTAGACAATGGAAGTCTGAACTAGTGAAATTCTTCACAAAAAATGTCTTCGAAAAAATAAAAGTTTCCAAAATTCATAACGTGATGTTTTCTAAAATTCCATATATTTTTGCGATTCTTAAAAATGAAAGAAATCGCGGATGTTACACTCTAGAAGAGGGGTAAACCGCGAACACGTATTTTCAGCTATTGTTCTCATGTTCTTCTTTTTTTGATTTACAAAAAGTTGTCAACAATATATTTGCTCGATTGTCAATATACTTGTTACTTTCTTTTCAAATACAAATACCAAATAAGTACTTATGATGCACTGTTTGGAACTTTTGGTTTAGTAATTAATATTACTGGATTTTAATCCCAACACCAAACAATTATTTTCAATACCTCGACATGTGTTTCAATCACCAAGTGATCATCTTCAAGGGAAATATTAAGAAGTTTAATCTTTCTCTTGAAGATGTTCACTGGGTGATTGAAACACGTTTCGAGGTGAAAATAACGGTTTGGTGTTGGGATTGAACTCCTGTAATAACCAAATGAGTAAGCGTGGGAAATGCCTTCATGAATCGTCGACTTTTCACAAAAACTAATACTAAATTCTCAGAAATATTGCATTATAACGAAAACATTGTTGTCAGGTTGTGATTCTATATATTTCATCATCTTCTATTCAAGTCATAAACACGTAGCTAAATGGTCATAGAATAAAGTACAACGTGTTTCATTCAGTGAAGAAACTTCCTGCAACAATGTTTTCAAATGAATATAGAAAATTTGAATTATATTCTGCGACTGAAATTTATGAATGGCAACATTGCATACACAGAGATGTTTGTGAGGCGAGATGTTTATGTAGTATAAATATTTTTTTATCTGTTATTATAATTCAGTTATAAAGGTATAGGTCTGTTTCAACGCTGATGACAGTTCTGGAATTTCTGTTATAAAAACTCTAAAATTGGAAAC